CCCCCCCCCAACACATCTGTATTCATCGAGCCAATTCCCCTTAACCTGGCCACTCGATTTCCCTATGGAACCTTTTCCAACTGCATAGTCCACGCATACTCGCCCACACTCGTTTTCCCCCAGTCCCTTCCCATCCTGCCATTATTACATGATACCAACCTACCCACCCCACTCCCACTCTTTAACCCCATCATTAGATGAACAATTGTCCTCAAGAAACGCCTATTTACCCTCCCAAACATCACATTGGTACTTTTTCATAAGAGGTTGCACATTTGATCAACTGATTAGCGACATCAAGACAAATGCTGCAAATCGTATCCCTAGCAGATCTTCTCTTCTCTCAAATGCAGAGACATTCCATTTGTCCGGGACCTCACAACATCACAGACACCTACAAAACCAGCCCATGAACCTCTCTCTCTCTGTGTCTCTCTCTCTCTCTCTGGTCCTCTCAGCTCCTCGTTTTTGAGTTCACGCATAACTGAACTCGACTGCACAGTCAACACAGACCACCACACGCTCTCAACTCAATGGACAAAAGAACTAGTCAAAAAACAAATCCAATACAATCAATCATCATATCCAATGAGAACTCAGTACAAACTAATCTTCTTAAGCAGCGCTGTCATTCTCCCCTCGAGTGATAACATCCCTCTCCAGCTCCAATAAGAGCTTTCTTCTCCCGCTTCGCTGAAATGATGAACCCCTCTTCCTGCCTAGGATGGGCACGACTTTCTTCGCTATGCCGGGCAATCCCTCACTCCCCTTCAAAGAGTGCAGAGGGTGGACATGACCTTCTTCGCACTGCCGGGCAATCCCTAACTCCCCTTCAAAGAGCTCAACTAGCTTATTGACTCCCATTGCAAGACACTCGGCCACTGCACCAGCACAAAAACGTGTGACGGTGCCGACCAACCTCGCCCCCGCCCCCCTTCTCATCCTCGATTTGACTACATCCTATCACCCCCACCCTGTTGCTCACGAAGATGCACGCATGCCTGGCTCATTACTTCCCGCGAGAGATTCTCCACCATCAACCCTGCCATAGCCATAACTTTCGAAATCTCCTTCAGCAACTAAAATCTCGCATCATCCTCACTGCCGCAGGGCAGACGGCGGACGGCATCTTAGCCGTCAGCGCAAACGCACCAACAGCACAAGATTGTTGTCACGCTTCAGGGTTTCTTATAAGTAATGACCATGTCGATGTCTGAAAATGTCTGGGAGAAAACGACCTTGCATTCACATGAGCCGCTCTGCGAATAAATTGCGCAAGCCTTAAAAAAACCCTCCTACACACTCCCCATCTTCCCAAACATTTCAGAGGACCTACAACCACAGCCATTCCTAACTACAACTAAACTATTGCTCGCTCCAGACCGCGACCATTCCCATCCAAGAGAAAATTCTACACGTGAAGTCCACCCACAAACCTCTGATTGTCCACAAAGCCCATCCATCCATAAGGACGTTTTCCATGCAAGCAGCCAAGCAGCAATCATCACCACCCAGTCAAAATCTCCATGCCAAACACACATCTTCCTGATCAAATTACCTGTAACCCAATATTGCCCCATGCTCAACGAAACCCTCAGCTTTCGGACTGCATTTCCTCGGGCCCTCCCTCCGCTTTCGTATCCGTTTCCATATCTTCCGATCCCTCCTCTGCCGTATGAGTATTCTCTGGCGATGCAGGCCCCTTCGCTTCCGGCTTCTTCTCTGGTGCTGGGCTTGGTGCCTTCGGCTTCGGTTTCAGCATTATGGGTTTGCAAAACCTGCCAAGGAAAACGAGACGGACGCAAATGTGAAGTACTGGCCACATAGAAGCACAGGCCTAAGAAGGAAAGCAAACAATCACACAATTATGGAAAACAGAACCGCACCCGATTTCCTCGTAATCTGTACCTCCCAATAACCTAAAAGGGGAATGCTCTAGCTCCTCAAGAACATTGTACCTTCCTCCTAAACGAGGCATAGACATAAAATCTCCAGCAGAGTAACTCCATTCCATTTCCAACCAGCAGTACATGCTCACACATGGCCAATTACTAACAGGTTTGACCATAGTCTCCACACACCTCTAAAACCAACATGCCACTCTAATTCTCTAGCTCTCACACACTCCCGTACACACAGAACACACATCCACACCTGCCTACTTCACCAACCCACACAGACACACCTGTACCACTGCACACACATGCATCCACCCACAGGCCTAACCAGTCTCCACGCCTCTGCCACTGCTACACAAGTCTGGTTCTCTTGCCCCCACCCAGACCCACAAACATAGAAAACATAACCACACCCACACATGCACACTCCCCCCCATCATACCCCTTTCCCCACCCCCACCCCCCAAACCCTCCCACCCTCTCCCTCCCCCCCAAAAAAATGGACAATGTCATCACCAACAAAGATGCCAAATAGAATGCACAAGACAACGCCCATACAACACTCCTTATCATTTGGACCCATAATTTGGGCAAAAACCCCCCTGCAAAACAGTACATTAACAAACAAATATGGACCTACCCGTTAAGCACTTCAGCCTTCTTCATTATCTCCGAGCACAAGAGAACTGGATCTGCAGTCTTGGGCAAGTTCTTCTGCATCTCGTACTTCTCTCTCAGCCACGCCTCTGCATCATTACACTCCTTGACAACCTGAGCATTGGACAAAAACAATCACACATGCTCTCCTGTAAAACACCTTTCCTCCGGAAACACCTTTCCTCCGATTGTTATGCACGAGCTCACAAGCGAGACATTCACGTTCACAAGGGAGACGTACCAAGACTTCGGCCTTGCTACCGCGACTCCCAAACAAACACAATACCAAGACTTCGACGTTGCTACCGTGACTCACAAACAAACAGAGTACCACGCATGACAAGCCCAAGGAACCGTCACCTAAACATCACACAAGTCTGCCTTCAGTGCCACAAAACTACATTCTGGTTCCGCACAACTGACAACGCGAGCCTTCTGTTCGACAGTTAGAAGCAAAATGCGACATCATCGATCACATTTTCCAAGCAAGTGCCAACTCCCCAAACCAATTCACAAGAACGATGTTTCTCAACCGATCAGAAATAATACGAGATATCCCTTTCCACATTTTCATGTCAATCGTTCGTCAAATCCTCATCCCCCTACGTCATACCCTCATCAGATCTCTTTTTTTCTTTTATCAACAAAGAAACTCTGCTCCGTGACATCTCTTTTTCCCCTTCCTTGACCTGAGGCCGGCATGGTTTTCTGTTTCCTGATAATATGATGCACTCCTCATATCCTGATCCAAAACAGAAAAAAGAACGCGACCAGGGAACACAACTGCCCTCCACAGTCGCAAATAGCCAGAGCGACATATGCCAATGCCTCGTCCCAGCCACTGGTAGAGCGTGAGACAGTCTTATTCATCGACTGGGAGAGGTTCGGGAAATTGCCAATCTGCGTCAGATGCACGATGGCCTCTCGGTTCATTCTCCCCTTCTTCGCTGTGTAGTGGAAAAAAATAGAAGTCACCAAATAGTTTCATGAAAATGCTCTCTTCGACCTTTCATGATAGCGCAGGACCCTCGTATCCAATCTTCGATTCAAATAGACATCATTCAGTCCAGAAAGCAGTTTGAATCCGTCATCGGTCGGGTGAGACCGATAACATGGTGGTGGTGGTTGAAACACGGCTGAAAACTTGTCTGAGGACCCTTTTTTGCCTCGATTTATGTGCTTCCTCGTAGTGCTTTAATTTGAATTTTGCTGTAACTCCATTCTCAAAGGCTCCTCTACAATCCTGTTCGCAATCTACAAAAGTGACGACAACCGGAGTCATCTTCATGAAAGATACCTCTTCTACTGTCTTCGCCCAAATAGACTGCATGGTCAACATCACGATATCTTGTTTTTTTTTTGGGGGGGGACCACTTCTCGATTCACATGTGTCATCCCAGCACAGCGGAGGTGCTAATATTCTCCGTATCGCTCCAGTTTTACAGATGTCGCAAAGGACTCACTTTATCTTCTCGATTCACATGTGTCGTCCCAGCACAGCGGAGATGCTAATCTTCTCCGTATCATTCCAGTTTTACAGATGTCCCAAAGGACTTAATATATCTTTTATAGACTCACTATATGTTCCAAAGGACTCACTATATCTTTTACAGACTTGAGTATATTTTCTCTGCCGAAGTGACCAGGCAGGCATTCTATTCACGCCAAGGCAGTACTACCAAAAGCGACAAGGTCAAGAATGGATACTCGAGACTCAAGACCTACCTTCTCCTTGTCAGCATCGTCGATGTGATCGTAAGCATGATTTTCCGACATTGCAGCATCCCTGAAACTCCGGAAACAGTAATCTAGTTGTCTGAGAGCATTCGGTCTGGCCTCATCCTCCTTCTGCCGAAACTCAATAGGATCACCAAGCTGCAGAGATCAGCCAACCACAGGGACGGGGTCAGAAATAGCTTCTACTCTCAACACAGGGTCATGAATTCAAAAGGCGTCTTATAGGCGGTGGGTCACAACCCCAAGTCCAAGCAAAACAGGACTTCCTACAAACATTCCTGACCAAGATAGGATCATCTATCGACTCAATGTTCAAAAAGTACTCCCGCAACCAAGCTGCAGAGATCAGCCAGCCACGAAGACCAAGTCCGAAAGAGCTTCTACTCTCAACATATAGAGTCGTGAATTCAAAAGGACACCTTATAGGAGGCGGGCAAAACCCCAAGTCCAAGGAACCAAAACAGGACATCATACAAACAGCCCTGACCAAGATAGGACGATTTACCAACTCAACGTTCGAAAAGCACTCTTGCAACCTCCATTTGCCCACAACACAGGCGATACAAAGCCTACCAGCCAGGGGGCCACCAAAACCAGTGCTTTGGTTCCTTTGATTTCCCGTCCAGCACCACCACCATGACTCGCTATATAAATCCATAACAGCAACCACAAACCCGTCACATCACTCTTGGTCGCAGCGAAAAATTTCAACAGCTAGTAAACCAAGACTGAAGAGATAACAGACTGCACACGACTCTGCCCACACAGACAATGAGAACCCAGCTGTGTGATACCTTTCTCATCCTTTTGGCTACAAGTAGATCAAGTGCAGTGTCTGTTCTAATCAGTTTAATATCTGATCCGTGGTCTATCGGACCATTCAAAAACACAACCCCGTTGTATTGACTACTTCAGATGATTAGAGGGGGTCTGGTGATCGCCGGACGATCTCTTACAGAGCTCCACCTTATAACAGCTCCGGGGCCTTCGACATCTAGGGATCCTTCCTAGGCGCACATACCTTGAAAACCAACTTGTGGAGGCTATTTGAGATGATTAGAGGGTATGTAAAGTGTATAACAAACAACAACAAGCGAGATGCTTATCACTAAACTCCCACCGTATATAAAACAACTCGCATCAATTATATTGGCTCAAGTACCCTTCAATGAATAATCAGTGTGTTTAGTCGATAACGTAAAGACCACAACCAAGCACGTGGCTTGCCAGCAGCCCCCCCCCCGGGGGGGGGGGGGGAAGAGGGTTGTGTGGAAGTGTAGTTGAAAAGATGCCACAGGTTTTCACTATGTGAAATTTAAGTACATCTCCGCTGACCATCACAGGTTTTTACATTATGAACGTTGTTCATACATCTCCCTTGACCATCAGGATCAAATCCTTGTCCGCACTCAATGATAACTCGAGTACACCAGCTTGTGTATCACCGCGTAAGCAAATGGAAAACTGCCACGGTGCTCTTACCTTCTTCAGTTCCTCCAACTTGGCATTATACACGCCCTTCATCTGATTCTCCCCCTCATCATAAAGCCAGTCCTCCGTATCATTCAGCAACCGCAAGAGTGTCTCCTTTTCCTCCGCTGCAGCATAAGGTGCTAACTTCTCTGAAAGCTGCCCACCAAACAATTACAAACACATGAAAACAACTTCAAGCCCGTTAGTCCCTTGCACTTGCAGCAAAACCGTTCACACAACTTTCTCCTGCAGCAAAACCGTTCACAGAACTTTCTTCTGCAGCAAAACCGTTCCCAGAACTTTCTTCTGCACTTCCCTTCCCTGGATGAGGAGCCATGCCAGACTCATCCTACAGTGATGGTATCAGTGACAGACCACCTCAAACCTAAAGATTGACTCGTGTAATTAAAACTCAAGCAGGACAGTCGACACCTGTCCATGATAAGAGAACAGTGAATTACAGTCTACGCTGCCCGAAGGCCAGAATAACAAGGGCTCCACACTGACAGCTCTGATTCCTACTACTACTGAAAACCGTGAAAGGAGAGAGAGAGAGAGAGAGAGAGAGAGAGAGAGAGAAGCGTTAACAAGGCAAGGCATAAACCATGTGGTCCACATCTATAAGATGAAACACGTAGCACCAAAGCACCACAGTTATTCAAGGGCATTGTTACAATTTTACTTTCCTACTGAAAAAGCAGAGGCCTGGCCTGACGACGGCCGCCATTGATAAATCTCAACGAAGGCCATCGGTTCATTTCCGCGTCCTAAAGATTTGAGGTGCCACATGGGAAAAGGTAGTGGTGGTCTAAACAAACAGACACAAAAAAACAGGCACGCAACAAGTGCCACCTCATGTCATCTCGAACTCAGTCAAACTTCAATCCATTCCCAAAAGCCCACCACAAAAGAGCTCTTTACCTAAACAAAGATGAACCTACCTCTCTTTGCAGCACAACATCCTCGCAGCAACCGCCACTAATAGAGCAACAAAACAAGGACGACAAAGAAGACCCCGTGCCAGTGACTCCACCATTCCCTCGAAGTAGACAAAGTCGCATTATGAGAATTGATTTGTTGTCCGCTTCTTCTACTAACCGAATCACTTTCAGCACCAAACGGTAGCCCTAGCACGGAAATTCTCTCTTGCCAAGTCTCTGCGGCTGCCAATGAGCTCTATCGCTAGCAAGGCTGCACTACCATCTTCACCCAAAGAACGCCCAGTCATCATAGCCATGTTTGGTGCAGCTTTCAGTCTCCATTATCACCTGGTCATTATAGTCGTATTTGGTGCAGCTTTCTCTCCATACAGTGATAATGACTGGGCGTTCTATTTGTGTGAAGACGGTAGTGGCCATACTTTTCTTCGGTTTCCTGCAGGAAAAAAGTTAGCTTTTTTTACAACCCAATTTATGGGGATCATTAGCTTCAAAATCTGAAACGAAGCGCATGAGAGACTGTGCGGCTCACATTCGGAGCCTCGGGATGCTTTTTGCAGTTCCATCATCGAACTTTGATGTTCATTTGAGAGTTCTTCTCTCTCTCTCTCTCTCTCTCTCTCTCTCTCTCTTCATTTGAGAAGTCCTTTTTTCTCTCTCAACCCATGTTCTATCACAAGCTTTCTCAGCAAAAGCGGATTCATCCACAAGACCAAAATGACACAAGGCAAGAACCACCTACCTTATTCCTCATTTCGTAGACATACGACTCCACTGCATTCTTTCTCTCCTTTGTCTCCTCCATCACTCTGTCGTCAAGCTGAAGACTGTACTCCAATTGCATTGCCCTCTCCAAATCCTCCTTCGCCAGGGAACCAAGAATAATCGCCGTAACCGGAACTTCTGTCTTCTTGAGTTTCTTCTTCACCTCCTTCTACAAATCAACCAGGGAGACGATTTGCCTTAACAGTTAGCAATCGACCACAACCACAGCAACAGCACCATATAAAAGAAACAATGAATACACACCAATTCCGAAAGAGTGCCCATACAGCAGGACCCAATCAGCCCTCCGCTTACACTACTATACCATGTGTGTGCTCACCTACATTATTTACTAGACGAGGACCACACATACAATCTTCACAGACTCTGCAACTGCGAATGACATCTTCACAGAATGTGCAAAACTCAAACAGATAACATGTGGGAAGAGAAGACAATCTACAGAAAACAACGGGGCATCCAATGCTCACTCTGACATACGTTCTCCATCAAGCGTAGTTATGGGACTGAATAGGTTGCCCATTACTTAGGGCTACGTTCGCTTGCGCTGGTCTTGCTCCCATTTATTCAGTTACAACACAGTCCACATGACACCTTCCGAAAATCAATAAACGCAACTCTTACTGGGGCAAACCAGTTCCAGCTCGCAGAAAGCTGAGCGCTGCGGACACAAAACAGATCACCTGTGTTTTCGTTGCTCGTACAATGTGCCCATCCATTTTACATCCACATACAAGACCCCTCCGGAAAAGATCAAGACCCTCACTACAACCAAATAGACATCAACCATCCCCATTTACCCAGGTCCTTCCCGGCAACTCAACTTGCCAAATTGCCCCCTCTTCCCGCAAACAAGCCCATGTTCTGGCATCAGACCGTCGAACCATTCAGTGATCATTCAACAGGACAGCAACGGCCCCCCCATCACCTCAACCAGTCACCTAACACACAGCGATCAGCGGCGCCATGTTCCGACCGTCCATTCAGCAATGCAGCACCTCCATCACATAAATCTTCACTAAACCATGTGACCCCTCATTTCAGAGTACCAAGACTAAGATCGCTGATGTGGAAGAAAAAGGGTAGTTTCAGAGTACCACCCCGAACTCGATCTTTGAAGAAGGAAGTCAAGGACTACTCTCTTCGGGGTCAAGCTACCATCTTCGGACACTACAATTCACAACACCGCAAGAACGTTGAAGATTGTCCTGCGACTAGTCGACAGGGTATCAGCCTGCACGCATTTGCGGCAACAACTTCAGAACCCGCCTAGCATATGGGAATCAATTAGACAGGAGTAGCCAAACCCTACCCTCTTCTCTCGACATTTTTATCACCGTCATTTTACAGTCCTCGGCCACGATGAAGCCCACAAACTTGACATTGCCACGTTCATCACTTACACCACCATCAGGTGATGTAACCCACTCCCATCGACAAGAGATTCACAGTCCAAAACTGTCAAATACGCATGGCCATCTCTACGCTTGTCGGACATGACATTGCGAGGCCCATAACATGCAGGACATGGGAGGCATTCACGAGGACATTGTTCATTGTAACATTTCTGCCACAGCATCTACGAGGTGAGCAGGCAAAGATCGCATTGGAAAGATAAACTACAAGGAAAAAGATCGTATAGCTCTACAGCGGTCATTCATTAGGCCTCAGGCTGTCTGACCTTCGAGAGCGCCCCGGCATCAGTTACACTGAGAAAAGCAAGGTACTTGCCAAGAGCTCCAAAAAACAGCTGACACACTCCTAGATTTGGAAGGCACCAGGAGGTCCTGGAATTCTGTGCCACAGAAAGTAGTGCAAAACCAATCAGGGCGGTCCGCCAGCAGGGCTATCCTGAATGTGCCTGGCTCCAATTCACAACTCTACTACTGCTACCGTCTTCCTCCGAATAGAACGCCCCGTCATTATTGCTGCATCTGGACTAAACGTTGTGCCAAATGCAGCTATAATGACCGGGCCTTCCTTTTGGGTGAAGATGGTAGTGCTCTCAGATACTCAACTCCTGTCACCAGTTGAGTTCCATTGTTGCATGGCCCCCCCCACCCTTCCCCTTTAAGGGGGAAATAAAACCGGTCAAACGATTCCTTAAAAACAAAATTACTTCCATAAACTCACCATACACAAACTGTACACTTTCGCAACCGAAAAAACAAACAAACACAATGATTACCATACCACAACCAACATGCATACCATTCTCAGCTACAGGCACACTTCCACTGCAGAGGTTGTACATAGAACGAGCGAGAGGGAGGGAGGGAAGGCCAAAGCCGAGTCCTCTCTCTTCACAGGAAGACACCCACAGTCTGGCAGTGCGTTATATACACTTGCACAAAAAGTGAGAGAACGAGAGCATTGGACAGCAAGGCAAAGTCGAGTCCCTCTCTCATCACAGGGAGACACCAACCGTGTGGCAGTGTGTTGCATACACATGCACACTAGCGATTTGGTACTCTGCTGGTCAGACATGCAACAAGAAAGAGAGCATTGCGCAAAACGTGGCTCCAAGAACAAACACATGACCATCTTCCTCCCGCGCATTGCATCTGCCCCGTCTTATTGCAGAAAGGCAGGAATGAAGACAACGGAAGAACATACAGAACCTTCACAAAACCTTCATAGAACCCTTCTCCAAAACACAAACACATAAAATAACAAAACAGACAAGCAAGGGAACGACTACTAACCTTCATACAAGGCACAGTACAGAAACAATTGCCTGTCTTGACAGGCAAACACTTTTCTTCACACGAAAACACTAAACTTCATAAAGGGCACAGCGCCGAACAGAACAAACAGCTGTCTTTACAACAAGCTCCTCGCAGCAGAAAAGAATCGACATCGCCATTCAACGACATTAAGCACACTTTAAAAAATTACGGCCCTCAATTTCACACTTCGGCTGAGCACCTCTCCAGGTCCGAGTCGTCTACCGACCTCATCTCAATTTTGTCAAAGGACCATCCATCACCCTTGTGTACTACACGAGAGGAGAGCTCACTATTCAAAAGGGCTACTGCTGCTCAGATCAAGCTGTCGTCAACGAAGTTCAGGCAATACGTACAGCAGATCTCAACTCATCATCGCAGCAGCACCCTTTTACCATTTCTGAAAAAAACACAAACAACAGGGCATATGAACGAGACGGCGGAACCAAGCAGACGCCGACTATGGCACAAACAAGCATCTGGCCACTGCACCTCAGGTTTAGTAGTCACTGGGAAGATTCAGTAAATACATACATGAGATGTCAGTTCACCATAGCAACCACATCCAGACTCTCTCTCAACACACTGACAGGCGGCAAAGGCCTAGATCACATGATGCGACCGCTGCTGCTCAGGTCAAGTTGGCATCACTTCGATTCAGTCAATACGTACAGCAGATATCAGTTCATCATAGCAGCCACGGCCAGAATTTCTCTCTCACTTCGACAAGAGGCAAAGAACTACCAAGCATTCAGCGGATCCTGCTATACAAATCTAGGTGTCCTCACTTAGATTCAGTCAATAAGTTCAAATACCAGTTCGTCATGGCCACAACAGCCTAAATACTTTCCAGTCGTCGACAAGAAGCAGAGGGCCAGAAAGCACATGCAGATTGCTGCTCAGTTCAACGTATCCTCATCAACATTCAGGCAATACGTACAGCACATATTAGTTCATCATGGCAGCAACCACCTGATTCCTCAGCCCACTGACGAGAGGCAAAGAGAACTCATGCCCTACCACTCAAACCATATCAAACTAGTTCCCCCATTAACAAGACTGCCAGACCGATCACCATCTAAAAAATGGAAACGCCAAGCAGAACAATCGTACATATACATGTATGCACCCTGACACAGAAAGGGAGACCGACGCCTCTCGATACATACTCCAAGCCAACTTAGACTAACGTTTCTTGGATTAAAAAAATAATATTTTATGACTACCGATCATTTCGTGAATTGCCAAATTGAAAAAATCACAACCATGTAAACGGGATTACCCACCGCACAGAAAGACAGAACAAATACCGGATCTTGTTGGACAGAGACAAGTTGCATAATGCTGTGTCAACAAGATTCACTTTCCTCTTTATATTTGCATTCTTCATTCAACTTATGGTATGGATTTAATTCAATTTAATTTATGGTATGGATTTAATTCGTTTCAAATAGTTTAAGACTCCACTTTGAATTCGCAACAACTCTTTTTTAACCAACTCGATAATGAGATTGTACCTATGCCACTTTGTGGCCTTTGACATGTAAAAGTCATACACTTTGTGGCCTTTGACATACGTTGCATTAATACCCATATATCACATAATCAAAGACGAGTGGTCACATACAAAATATTCTGCTCAGGTGCTCATATCAGCACAGAGGTTTAAGAAAATCCGTACAGCTATGAGTATCATCACTGCCGAAGCCGCATACACGGTACACCACTGGTCGATCGGTTAACAAGCTCAACGCTTACCACTGAACATAAGACTCGGCAACAAACTTGCATTAATACCCATATATCATATAATCGAAGACGAGTGGTCACGTACACAATCTTCTGCTCAGTTGCTCATATCAGCACAGAGGTCTAAGAAAATACGTACAGCTATGAGTATCATCATTGCCGAAGCCGCATACACGGTATACCACTGGTCGATCGGTTCACAAGCTCAATGCTTACTACTGAACATAAGACTCGGCGACAAACGTTGCATTAATACCCATATCATATATCGAAGACGAGTGGTCACGTACACAATCTTCTGCTCAGTTGCTCATATCAGCACAGAGGTTTAACAAAATGCGTACAGCTATGAGTATCATCATTGCCGAAGCCTCATACACGGTATACCACTGGTCGATCGGTGCACAAGCTCAACGCTTACCACTGAACATAAGACTCGGCGACAAACATTGCATTAATACCCATATATCATATAATCGAAAACGAGTGGTCACGTACACAATCTTCTGCTCAGTTGCTCATATCAGCACAGAGGTTTAAGAAAATACGTACAGCTACGAGTATCATCATTGCCGAAGCCACATACACGGTATACCACTGGTCGGTAGGTTCACAAGCTCAACGCTTACCACTGAACATAAGACTCAGCGACAAACGTTGCACTAATACCCATACATCATATAATCGAAGACGAGTGGTCACGTACACAATCTTCTGCTCAGTTGCTCATATCAGCACAGAGGTTTAAGAAAATACGTACAGCTATGAGTATCATCATTGCCGAAGCCGCATACACGGTATACCACTGGTCGATAGGTTCACAAGCTCAACGCTTACCACTGAACATAAGACTCAGCCCTCGCATGACACTAACCACTGTCCCACCCACCCCAGGGTGATATTGGCTGCATTCTTTACTTGGCCAGGCAACCAAGCTGACGAGCGGAAAAAGGGATCTGAACCCTCCACCTTAGACTTGGAAAGGCTATATCGTTAAACGACCAGTACCTCTACCAGTATGTGGTCGCAAGGGGGTCCCATTCAGCGGCCGTGAGGGCTTCCGCCTTCGTTCAGATTTTCAATCTACGGCCCCCATCGCAGTGCGAGCCTCCAAAAGTCATCGTCCTCCCGACAACGCGCCAGGACAACTAGTACTGGGCGTTTAAGCTATTCACACCATCCATTTGCAAAAGCAAAGACAGACATAGATCCTGACGTCTTCATCTACGCTGTGTTCAAGAAGACAGACGAGTCAAGAAACTACATTTAACATGCTCAGGCCCTAATTTCACCACTTCTGTTTAAACCACCAGTATTTGGCCAAGCTATCGGCCATGGTGAAAAATAGAGTAGAAACGTTTCTAGTTGGATGAATGTGGGCGCTGCTGTACTGCACTGTACATTTCCTAAAGGTGTGGCTTCTTAAGTACTGGTGGTTTAAGATCATCATTGCAGTGTCACCTAGACAAAACCAGTTGTTTGATTGGTTTTAAGCTAGACCACTGAATGTAGAAAATAATGGAGACTCTCCATGCACTATGTGGCACCATGCAGATGATGCCAGCATCACCCACGCAAACTTCTTCCATTTCAAATCAATAAAGACTCACTAGAAACCTGAACGCCGCAACCCCCCCCTCCCCCTTAATCCCCACTGCATTATATGCTCAGAGAGAAACATTCTTTGCAGTCACACCGTCATCAAGCAAAGCACAGAAACCAACGGCCAGAGACTGGAAACTCCATCTACAAAAGGGACAAAAACAAACCCCCAAACAAACAAGGCCGACCTCGTGTGACATCACGAATCAATATGAGAAGAGACAAAAACACACCAAAACAAACAAGGGAGACCCCGTGTAACATCACAAATCATGCCAACATGCTGCTCAGGTTATAAAATCTTCTTCAAGCGAAGGTTCAGACAATACGTACAGCTTTCTTAAACTCATCACAGCAGCAATCACCAACACAGAGTTCAGGAAGTACGTTAAAACATCTAAATACGATAAGCACAGCCCCCCTACGATGTCGCCACGATCATGGCACGATCATAACGGCCAACTTCAGGAGTGTGGGTCAATGGACACTTGAACAAACAGCTTTCGAAAAGAGCTCCAGGTGTTCTGCAGTCTCCACCTTTCGGAAACTGTAATTATCTACATACATATACAGACAGCAGCACGCGCAGCCGAACCCACATGGCTGAAACTATCAGTGACGGAAGGGGCCTTCTCGCACATGACGGTCTGTTTGTTCTCCTCTGTCACTGCAGAGTAGACAAAAAGACTCCTCACTGATCCAGTGTCTACTCACTTCCACACGCTCTCTGACAAGTGGCCTCTACCATCACGTATGTTACTGTACAGTGACATGAACTTGGTCAGAGAACTTGGCCAGGAACAGCATTGAGAGGTCGCTGACCTTGATCTCCGCTCGTCGGATTCTGCATCACAGAATCAATCCTGCTAACCATTCTTACTGTAAACGATCAGCGTTGATTGATATCATAGTGCAGAGTGTGACTTGACTCTGTTTTCTGTTCGGACTCTTCAGTCAGGATAAGAAAAATTCTGACAGCAACACAGTTACGTCAACTTCCACTCCAGAGTAGAAAAACATCTACAAGACTAACCAAATTCCAAGACTTCAGCGTAAAGGAGTGGGGACCGCATCGTAACAGAAACCTAAACTACAATACCCCCTCCCTCCGAGCCCGATTCAATGCACCAGCCCACATGAGGAACCTTAACTGAAGTGCAGACACCCTGCCTCCAAGCCTCTGGCCTTAGTCTAGTTCATAAACTATGTACCAGCCCGCATTAGGATAGTTCGACAGCTGCTGGATGGAAAACTTGCCCTCATCCCAACTTCCCCACCCACATTAGGATAGTTCGACAGCTGCTCGATGGAAAACCTACCGTCAGCCCGACTTCCTCACCCAAGACTATCCAAATTCCAAGACTTCAGGGTGAAGGAGTGGGGACCACGTCGTAACAGAAACCTAAACTGCAAGGAGATCCCCTCCCTCCAAGCCCGATTCAATGCACCAGCCCACACGCGGAACCTAAACTGAAGTGCAGACACCCTGCCTCTCCAAGCCTCTGGCCTTAGTCTAGTTCATAAACTATGTACCAGCCCGCATTAGGATAGTTCGACAACTCCAAGCCTCTGGCCTTAGTCTAGTTCATAAACTATGTACCAGCCCGCATTAGGATAGTTCGACAACTGCTGGATGGAAAACTTGCCCTCAGCCCGACTTCCCCACCCACATTAGGATAGTTCGACAGCTGCTCGATGGAAAACTTACCCTCAGCCCGACTTCCTCACCCGCACTATCAGCTGCTCGATGGGAAAAACCTACCCTCTGCCCGCATTAGGATAGTTCGACAGCTGCGCGGTGGAAAACTTACCCTCAGTCCGACTAAGTCCGACTTCCCCACCCGCACTAGGATAGTTTGACAGCTGCTCGATGGAAAACTTACCCTCAGCCCTCAGTGTGACGCGTCGTACTTCGAACCCAATGTAGCTTGCCACTATTATAGTTTCGTTCAAAAAAAGGCAGGTGCGCATGGTCCCGTCACGAGACGGTCTCTTTAAAAAACCCACGCGTCACAAGACAGTGACTCTTGAAAAGTGAAACCTCGAGACACCAAGCAGTCCAAGCCTATATATCCTCGTAGAGAATGTGCCGTAGGCAGAGCGAGAGAAAGGAACAACAGACAACGGGCTGTGACAGACTGTTTTGCCAAAGATTCACCAACTCACCAGGAGCCTGAACCAGTGCAATCTGCAGAGTTCCCTAACCAACGATGCTACTACCGATAATCCACCTTAACCCCAGTTACAATTAAACCACCAGTGCCTACCGGTTGTTGTGGCCGTTAACGAGGTAGCCGAATCAGTCTACCCGTCGGGTCCACATTCATTCGACCCGGGAGGGTACGAAAAATCTGTCTGTACCAGTGGTTTACGCATCAAAGACTGCCCAACACGCGCACACTGTACATAAACGTAGAGAACTACGCAAGGACAGCCAACTTCAAAAACTGCGACAGAAATACCCTCCCGCAGGTCGAGCAGTCCTCTAATCGACTAAAATCCTCCATCTTGACTCCTGCCATCTCCACAAAGAAGGCAACTCACTATTCTGTGAGAGATTGAGCGAATTCTACTGACGTAGATGCAGCCCACAGCTCCCGCCTTCATTAACTGTCTACAGTACACACACTCCATCGGTTCACTATCACGTCCAGCAGAAGTGCACACAAACTATATGCCGCCCTCGTTGCACCAGAACAGGCCGATCACCAAATACAGACTCTTCTTTCGCCCACCTGGTTGTACAGCTTTCAGCCTTTCACTAACTTCGAGAACTTTCCAAGAAGTTTCCAAGAAGTTTCAAAACTTCACATCATTCTTCCACCCGGGACCTACTGATATCGTTCTGCCCCGAACAACCCACCCAAAAGCAATCCACAATTGCACATTCATTTGCTCTCCCTCTCTCTCCAAAACAGCTCAATCACGCTCCTCATCCCGTTTCTGTTCGATGGACCACGTCTCTCTCTCTCTCTCTCTAAAACAGCTCAATCATGCTCCTCATCCCGTTTCTGTCCGATGGACCACGTCTCTCTCTCTCTCTCTCTCTCTCTCTCTCTCTCTGCCTCCCTCGCCCTCTCTCTCCAAACAGCTCAATCACGCTCCTCATCCCGTTTTCTGTTCGCTGGACCACGGATCAGACCAGATGCTGTACCTGATCTCCGCCAGCTTTTCCTCCGTAAGCTAACAGAAGAACCTCCTCGGTCCTTTGGCTCTCTCTCTCTCTCTCTCTGCCTCCCTCGCCCTCTCTCTCCAAACAGCTCAATCACGCTCCTCATCCCGTTTTCTGGTCCTGTACCTGATCTCCGCCAGCTTTTCCTCCGTAAGCTAACAGAAGAACCTCCTCGGTCCTTTGGCTCTCTCTCTCTCTCTCTCTCTGTGCCTCCCTCGCCCTCTCTCTCCAAACAGCTCAATCACGCTCCTCATCCCGTTTTCTGTTCGATGGACCACGGATCAGACCAGATGCTGTACCTGATCTTCGGCAGCTTTTCCTCTGTAAGCTAACAGAAGAACCTCCTCGGTCCTTCGGTAGTGTCTACACCAACTGACATCCTGAGTGCAATTCACAAAGGGCAGGCTGAGTGCATTTGACGAAGGACAGGTTAAGTGTGATTCACAAAGGACAAAGAATCGAGTCCTAAAAGAAGAGGGGTGTAGAGAGAAAAAAAAGGGGGACAGTGAGAGACACACACATACCTTGACCGATTCTACAGACACTCCACCATTGCCTGCCGATGACCTCGTCTCTGAATCGTCCATTTTGGAGTCCCCACCCTCATCTTTCGCCTCTCCTTCCTGCCTTTTGGCATCCCCCTCCATTGGCACAGCCCCATCAGCCTGCGATTCCTCCTTCCCATCTGCGCCTTCTTCAGTCTCGATCATCTGCCAAGCGATAATCCAAACATCCATCATTATTTCGACATCAAATAAATGTCAGTTTCTTTGCATACATCGCTGATCAAAAGGATTCGAGCGCATTTAGCATCCGTGAAGACGCACCTGTCCACCCTCAATCACCATTCAGCAACCCACGTTCGACATCACAAGCGAAAGACTACACGCATCCATGCATGTTCCGAAGGATACCAAAATGAAGGGTCTGTAAGCACATCGTGTAGACGGAAAACAAATTGAGCCGACACAAAAGAGCAATAAGATAGATTGTCGAAGTTTACCTTCCTACGGAGAAAGGAGAATCCATAATCCATGTATCCGAAAGTTCTCAGGCATCACATCTTAGCTTAATACATGCTTCCCTATTCAGACTGTAGGGTTCAGACCGTAGGGTCCAACAAGATTCCACCCTCACTAACAGACAACGGGACAAGGACAGAAGAGGACCCAATACTGCAAAACCACAGGAGCCAATAGCGCAACCGAGAACAACTCCTCCGCATATTGGGTCAGAGACTGAACGAGATTAAACAAGATTGGACGAAGCGGCAGACAGTTGACGAGGAAAGAGCAGGGAGGAAGGCATAACCAAGGTTAAAACACAGGACAACGGAGGAAGGCCATAACCATAGCAAACAAAGAGACAGAACAAGATTGAACGAGATTAAACGAGCTTGAACGAGACAGTTAACCGGAGGAAGGCCTTGAGCATAGCAAAGAGACAGAACAACCAACTGCAATTTAAACTCACCGTTGCCGACTCCACTTTGAGGATACCATGCACATCCAGCTTCACCTTAACCTTCAACTTGACCTTCTCGCCCGGCTTAGTAGGTGTGAAGGGACCGATCTGTACAAAACAAGGATAAGACGATCGACGTTTATACAAGCTTAAAATACGTAATAACACAGAGCCTGCCACATTAATATGGACTGCACATAACATCTTATTCTGTAATGATCCCTCCAAATGTCGAATTTACAAAATCACCCTCCGCATTACTCTGAAACTTCAACAACTTCGCTTCTTTAAAAAAGGAACCAAATAAAAGTGCAGACACCCTGTACCGGAAATAATATACAGTTCTGTGGTTGTCTGTGCTACTTACTTGTGGCTTGTGCGCGCACGTTGCGGTACCTGCTGCGCCTAGCCAATTTTTGTAGGGGTCCAGTACCCTTGTCTGCACGCCAGCAGATTTTGGGAGCACGGTTGGACTCCAAAAAATAATAATAATAATAATAATAATAATAATTATACAGAGATGTAAACACGATTAAAAAAAAAAAAACTCCCAGCCACTTGGCGCATGTGAAACACCAAATGCACTCACATTTTCGGGCGTGTGCAGTGCATACCTTTCTTTGCACTTAGCAGACCGTAATGCATCCTCCTGTCGATCAGACTGTGGCCCAAGCGCGGGAAAATACATCTACTACCTGTGATTACATACACGACCGACGCTCAGGATGGGGGACTAAGCAGGGCAATAGCCAGACTTTTAAGGCCTCTGCTTCGACATTCGTTTGAGAGTTTCCTCCTGTGTTGTGCGCTCAACGAATGGGACTAAGCAGGGAGTTAGCCAGACTTCTGAGGAATCTGCTTTGACATGATCCGATATTCATAACCCAAGGAGCGCTACCGTCTTCCCCCGTGCACAACGCACCCTGAAAACGTATGCAAGGCATGTTTCCGGCCCGATACAGTCAAAATGAGGGTGCGTTGTGTTCGGGAAAAACGGTAGCTATGAAGCATTTCGAGCCAGTGGCCTCAATCCTAACGCTGTCCCCTATCCGCCAGAGGACCCGGAATAACATTACGAGAGCTCCTCGATGTATTCACGCGAGAGCTCGCCGATGTATTCACACGATTAAGGGCGTTGCCGCACGGGAGACGAAACGAAAAACGAAACGAATGAATCTTCACCCAGAAAAAGGCCAGGTTCATCGGTTTGCTACAAATAGTAACGAGTGCATTTTGCCACCTTCGGTGGGCAGATGCACTCGTTTCGATTTCGTTTCGTGTGCCGTGCGGCGATACCCTAAGGGAGTCGCTCAAAGACTCAAAAAAGAATACGCCCGAGACTCAATTCTCCGTCGAGCCCAAATCAAGGAGCTGAAGTATGGATGGATTTGTAAGACGCACTTACAAAGGTTATACCCTTAGTCGTCTGTCCCCAAAGGTTATACCCTTCCTATAGCAATAAGACTTGTGCTCTCGATGGACCACACAGATATACTTGCATTTTACAACGCAAAACCCCATGGGATTTTCAACTATTCCTCTGCGGCGGCTCCCTTGGGGGATACACTTGTTATTGTCTTCATGTCGCCTTACGTTATCAAATAAATATAACACAAAAATGCATCTTTCCATGCTATCGCGGAAGATTCATGACCAAAGGCGTCGCCCGGACACTCGGAACACAGAAAAAAAACCAAAAACAGCGATGCATTTCACCGATATAGCGGACGATTCATTTTCACTTCGCACACTAGGTGAGTGATGGAGCGAGTGCCAAAAGGCAAATGCACCAATCCAGATTACCATCTTTAATCCAGGTTCTTTAATGCAATAATAAAAAAACTCACCTGGAACGAGGCAAACTTCTTAGGTGTGCCAGCTGGCAGATCGTTGATATCTGCGTACACCGCGTCGATAGTAAACGGCTCGCTCCTGTTGAATGTCAGTTGTTTCATGGCAGGGAAAGTACAACCTTTGGGAAATATGGGTTCCTTCGTCTTCGGTTCTTCCTCCTCCGCGGGTGCTGCCGCATCACTCTGTGGTCCCTTGCTCCATACCAGATCAATGGCAAACGGATACGCGTCCAGCACCTGCATAGCCACGTGTCACACAGTGTTTGCACATATGCGTCAGACGACGAACAACAACACAATCACGTGTGACCACTACAGTCTTCACCAGAATAGAACGCCCGGTCATTATCGCGCAATGTGGACTGAAAAGTGGGTCAAATACAGCTATAGTGACCGGGGGTTCTATTCATGCGCTGAACGTGGTCACAAGACAGTTCTTTCACTACGTGCCTTGAGAACCGAAATCGTCAGACAATAAACTACACAATTATGCGTGATAACTAGCACTTACAAATTGCAAGTCATAAGGGAAATATATTCCACTGAGTACCTTTGCGACACATTATCAGACAGTGAACAACACTTGACTAGCACCAGCATAATGACGTGACATACAAATCAAGCTGTCACAACATGTACTCGCCCCTTAGACGACGTCTCTCTCTCTCTCTCTCTCTCTCTCTCTCTCTCACTCACACACACACACGCACACAATACCCGTGTTATCCTTCCAAGTCCGCTCTCTCTCTCTCCCTCTCACACACACAAAACCGCAGCACTTCTCTCTCTCTAAACACAGACGCACAGACTCAATAGCGTTCGGTCCTGTCAAGTCCGCTCTCTCTCTCTCTCTCTCTCTCACACACACACACACTCTCACACATAAAATTGCGGTGTCTTGTCCTGCCGAGTCCGCAGCACACCTCTCTCTCTCTCTCTCTCACACACACACACACACAAAACCGCAGCAATTCTCTCTCTAAACAGACGCACAGGCTCAATAGCGTTCTGCCAAGTCCGCTCTCTCTCTCCCTCTCTCTCGCACACACACACACACACACTCTCACACATAAAATTGCGGTGCCTTGTCACACACACACACACACACACACTCTAACAACATTGCGATGTCTTGTCCTGCCGAGTCCGCAGCACCTCTCTCTCTCTCTCCCTCTTCTTGTCGGCGAATGTGATCCTCACCACCACGGGATCACGGAGATAAGCACGACCTTCTCACATCCTCTTATGTTCCGTTTGCCGAGCGCCTGTAATGTCTTGTAAACACGATCACTTGATAAAATTGACAGGAACCAATCAAGCCGTAACAATTTCTGCTATATCCAATACCCACAAGACACAGAGACTTGAGACGGACGCCATTCGAGACACGGCGGGCCGACATGTCAGGTAACGACCGACAAGGAAAAGAGCAGAGACTAAGAGCTGAGGATCTACGTTGTCCAAATTGATACAAATACAAGAATCAAAACATCGCTGATCTCAACGGAATCGACTGCATGATTGACCAGCCAACAGATTCCTCTACCGGGGCTACCAGCAGGGCCCGCCGCTCGGGCCACCTTGTTTGACCGGGCGCCCGGCCGTGCGAGGACCAGCAAAGAGCCCCTCAAAAACAAAACTCTGGAAAACAATCATGTTATGCACAAAAATAAACTGAACAACTCTCGCCTCATCGTCACATCGAATTCTCAACTCGAAATAAAATATACTTTCCAAATTTGTTTGTCCGGCCGGGCAACTTGCCCGGGGCCACTTTCATAGCCATTGTTCGTGACAACATTGGTCTTTTTTTTTCCCTTAATACGTGTCATTCTTGCTCCGGGACCATGCTATGGCTTGTGCTCCACTGCCGATTCCTCGAGGCATTCCTTTTCTTCACTTAAGAACGGCGCACTTGCCGTAGTACTCTCTCTCTCTCTCTCTCTCTTTGCGTGCTCCTTTCTTTACTGGTACTACAATATAATATCTATTTTTATTTGTTTATTACTTGTTCGAGTAATTCGTGCTGCTCCACCTGCCGGGTTGTCCGCTGGCAGAAAGCTGGACCTTCACAAGGTCCAGTAATGGATCGACCAAAGAGGTTGTGGGACAGCCAGAATCCGCCCCGCACTCAATCCCGCAGAAAAAGACAACAAAAACAGGCGGTGTATCTTCCCATGTTACAGCGCACGACTCATTCCCTTCCTACCCCGAAGGACCCGGCAGCGTACTTCGACCTAAGAAAATTGGCTGGACCATCCGCAGGAACGCGCCGGGCTGAGAAAATTATTGGCCAGCGATACCGTGCAGAGCGTAGTCCAACTTAAAACCGCCCGCACCTACCACATGTTTAGGCGTTAACGCGGAGGCTGAATCTGTGCGCTGCGTGGGTCCATATGCATTTGCGTCAGAGGGGGCTCAATTAAGACCCCCTGGGGTACTGGTGGTTTAAGAGCCCCCGTTTCGGCAGAGGAACACGGCCAGCACAGGAGAACTTCAGTTTTCAGAAATAAGTGGCTAACTTCCCGACAGTGAAAAAATGTGGAACTCGAAAAAAAAAAAAAAAGAAGTCCTTCGGGACATCCGTTAAAATTGGAACGATACAGAGAAGATTAGCATGGCCCTTGCGCAAGGATGACACGCATAAATCCAGAAATGGGCCAAATTAAAAAAAAAAAAAAAAAAAAAAAGTGGAAACCGCAGGGAGCCCGCCATGCAAACTCTCCAAGGAATTCCTCGAAGAATCGGCAGTGGAGCACAACCCTAATCTTTTTCTCTTTTCTTTTTTCGTTCCAATTTTAACGGATGTCTTACCCATAACCTAAAAGAGGATTTACTGTGCAACACTACCGTAATTAAGGAGGACACGTGACGACATTCTTACCACCGTCGTTTTTACGATACACCACACAGGTACGGACGCGCCGCAGATCCATGCGTAGTAAGGTGCTCCATTCGTCGAATGGCCTACTTGCAGTATCTGTATCTACCCTCGTTATTGGCCCTCTGTTCGCCGGAACACGCGCTAACATTGGACCGATACACAGAAGATTAATTAGCACGACCCGGCGCGAGGATGACACGCGTATGGATTAAAAAAAGAACACGGATCTGTATCTACCCTCATATGCGCCATCATTCCACGAATGCGCACTCAAGACATGAGATCCGGATGGTTCGATCGACCACATCCGCAGCTGATTGCCCTCTGACCCATTTGAGTGCGGCAATCCGTTCTCCCCCACGCTGTCGCCACGCTGTTGGACAGGAACAAATCGGTCGTGCATCTTCCCGGAGAAGGAGGCCGTATTCATCCGTTACTATTCATAGCACTGGGGGGTGTTTTGTCACCAGCGGGAAAAAAATGCACTCACATTTTGTCCATTTCCACAATGGTGAGACGATTCCCCAAGGAGGGCCAACACACATCGAAGGGGGAGGCCTACCAAGGAGGGCCAAAACACATCGGGGGCAAGATCCCACTTGCACGGATTACGAGATTCTGGCCGTTGATCTGCGCTATCTACGGTCAATATCTCTTAATTCGTGTAAGTAGGACCTAGCCCCGGAGGGGAATTATGAGCTTGCTGCCGCTGAGGTATAAGGCGCGATAGACGAGCACAGAGAAATACATTCAAATACAAATACACCGTCGAACTGCCCGCTAAACTGTAGACAGGAACAAAAGGACAACAAACGAGGGGCTGCGATAAACTGTTCAGTGGGAGTTTCACCGACTCATCAGGACGCTAATAAACCTTTCATAGTCAGCAGAATATCCCTAACCGATGACGTTGAAAGTGATAACCTAAAACAAAAAAAAAAAAGTGATAATCTACCTTAACCTTGTGACGGTTAAGAATCAACGACTTACCCGGCATCTGACACCCTGAGGTTGGCCCTTCTACACAATTACAGAGCCCCCCCTCGTTTATTGTCCTCTTCTCCCTCTGTCCACTGTTCACCGCGGGTTCATATATGACGATATATCTGTACACAAGTCTACAAGAATACCGCATCCCCGTACTCTTTTGTCGTCTTCTTCTCCCTCTCTGCTCACGGTTCACGGCGCAGTTCTCTACGACGATACCCATGTGTACATACAATAAGGTCCATTCACACCAAGAATCCGATCTTTCTCATATCGAACATAATAGACTCGGACTTGTTCGTCTACAAGTAAGCAGCAGCAGAAAGGTACAAGTTGGAGACAGCACCGCGCATTTGGTATAGAACCGAACCTACGCCAGGGAAAACAAATATATTGTCACAAAATATCAGAACGCAAATGCGATAGAAAGAAAAAAAGAAGGAAAACGAGACAAAATGAATTCAGTTTTTTATCTTCTTCCTTATAACTCCCCCTGTTCAGAACCTCTTGCGTACAAGGCCGCCCACGTGGATGTAGGTTGAGCGGCGGCTGCCCCCACCCCGTGTGTCATATCGACCCACTTGCACACAGCCAAAAGGCAAAGAAGCAAAGAAAAGAGGAAGGGAACAGCCAAATACAACAAAACAGGGGGAAACAAACATAAACCAATCCTAGATAACGAGTCCCACATGCAAGCACCGCCCCCACCACCAGGGAAAACAAATATATATATACATACCTATATCGTCATGAAAAACTGGCCAGTGAACCGTAGGCAGCACTTGAGAGAAAAGACGAGCCAGAGGAAAGGTAACACCCAGGACGGGCGTGACTCTCGCCCAGTTTCCCCCCAGGCATAAGGGCTGGAAAAACGGAAACGAGAGAGATCTCGATTATAAGTTGAGGTCAACAACCTCCAGACGTAAATAGCACAATCTTACAGTATTTTGACGATTCTCTGCAAACGAGATGTAGTATCGCACATGACTTTCTCCTGCCAATTGAAAGTCATTTTGACTGCACCTGACGGGAAAAACAGCTTGAATAGGCGTTCGATGCTTGATGATTGGTGTCCACCGTTGACCTAAGAACCTCATAGCCGACCTCTATACTACCGTCTTCCCCCGAACACAACGCACCTCATTTTGGGGCCGCATCGAACCGGAAAGATGGCTTGCAAGCGTTCGATGCTTGATGATTGGTGTCCACCGTTGACCTAAGAACCTCATAGCCGACCTCTATACTACCGTCTTCCCCCGAACACAACGCACCTCATTTTGGGGCCGCATCGAACCGGAAAGATGGCTTGCATACATTCGCTGTCAGGGGGCGTTGTGTTCGGGGGATGATGGTAGTAGAAGCACACAAAAACAGCTTGAATAGGCGTTCGATGGTTGATGATTGGTGTCCACCATTGACCTAAGAACCGCATAGCCGACCTCTATACTACCGTCTTCGCCCGAACACAACGCACCTCATTTTGGCCGCATCGAACCGGAAAGATGGCTTGTATACATTCGTTGTCAGGGGGCGTTGTGTTCGGGGGATGATGGTAGTAGAAGCACACACATTCTCCACTTTGACAGAGACCGTGTTCTGTTCTGAGTGGTAAGGATTAACGGACAGCATGTGGCAACAAACTTGGGGAGTGCACTTTCCATGTGCATTAACCAGCATCTTTGTGACCACGTGGAATGCGACATAACCTCTTCACCCGAATAGAAGACACGGTCGCTACAGCTGTATTTGCGGCCACTTCCAGTCCAGATACAGCAGTAATGACTAAGCGTTCTGTTTGAGTGAAGAAAAAGAGCGACGGGCGACATCTACCAGGCCAACAAGGTAATATGATGACCTACAAGTATGTTAACGAGGGAGGAGCGACAAGAAACGACAACAAAACAGATAGGCGACGGGAAGCACAACCGTCGCGGAACGTTCATCTTTCCCACCCATCCCGGTGTCCGCTCCATTCTTATTTCGGTCAGGCAGCGAAGCAGACGAGCGGAAGGGTGGGCAAGAGATCGCAAGAAGGGCAACACAACACATGCTGAAAGGACGACCGATACGTTAAGGAGGGTGCGAAAGCAAGCTGCTGCCCTAGGAGGACAAACTTGAGAGAGGACGACGAGCGCACAAGGCAAGAACAACGGCGCCAAAGGCAAGACGAGGGCGACTACCGTCTTCTCCATAGCAGAACGCATAGTCAGTATAGTAGCTGTATATCTACTAAATCGCTCGTACAGCGATGATGACCGTCCGTTCTATTCGAGGAAGACCGACGCAGAGGGTAAGGAGAGGGCAACAAGAACAGAAGGCAAAGCGAGGACTTGTGCACCAGAGGAGGGCAGCTTCTGCGTAGTGCGGGGTGAGGGCGACGAGGGCAGAAAGCAGGACGAGGGCGCCGAGCGCGGAAAGTGGGACAAGGGCGGCGTGCGCGGAAGGATGGGCAAAAGCGGCGGACGGGCACCATAGAAGACGTAGACGGCCAGCAAGTCCCGCAGGGTGAGGAAGAGGTGGGGGCGGCGAGGAAGGGCGACGATAGGGGAGCAAAAGCTACAGCAGCCCCCTTGGAACGGAAGGCAAGCAAGGCACCCCTGGCGTGGAATGGCAGCAAGGCGCCCCGCGAACGGCAGCGAGGAGCCTCAGAGAACGAAGGGACCCCGGAGAAGGGTGCGTATGAACCCGAGAGAAGGGACCGGAGGAGCCCCTGAGAGGGAACGGAGGAGCCTCGGAGAGGGAACGGAGGAGCCTCGGAGAGGGAACGGAGCCCCGGAGAGGGAACCCCGGAGAGGGAACGAGCCCCGGGGCAGGGAAGTGAGGAGAC